TGAGTCTTCAACAAATATACAATGCCTGCTGGCGACAGTTTTTTCCTGTTGCACTGACACTTTATTTGAATGAATTTGGAATCCTGGAATAGAAGAAACTCTTCCAGATTAATGGATCATCAATCAGACCTGTACAAAAAGAGCAACTGGTGAACATTGGCACTAATGCAGTCCGTCAGACAGCTGATTCCTCTGTGAGCACCCGCTGAGCGTTAAAAATGTAAAGTCATTTAAAAACCTGATATTCGAATGTATGTGAAGAAACAGACTTGCTCACAGCTGTGCAGTAGTTTATTTATCCGACTCTGCTGGATCCAGCTGGTGGCTGTGCTTATAGTTTTCCAAACACGTTTCCAAGTCGAACATACTGTTTGTGGCCCATGTCTGGTAAGGGTGAGCAAAAGGTTAATGACAGGAAGCAAACCCTGATTGGTTCATACTCTTACCTACTTTTTTCTAAAGTGCGGACCAATTCGAGAACAACGGGCCCGTGGGCACAGACGTGTGACGACGGGGCAACCAAGAATAAAACTGATTTACTGGGAGTTACCGTGCACTTACTCTGAAAGTCAGCCTGGCTCTCTCAGTCTTGGATTAGTGTATGGGCTTACTGTTTAGGTGTTGTGTTCCTGACATGATTTAACTACCTCCTCACAGCAATGCACTCCTTGGCTGCAGCTGGTTACATTTCTTCTGCTCTGAAGACTCGCTGTGAGCTGGTGAGCTTCTCTACATTCAACTAGTTTGCTCATCGAGGCTACAGAGCAGAGCAAGGACGACTGCCACCAGGTGCAGTCCACCCACAGCACAAAACGCCCACTGTGCAGATGGCTAGCTAATCTGTTATCTGGTTACAGTTGCTCGTTTACTGAAATGTTTGCAGAGTGTGTTGAAGCACCTTCATCCTGAGCATAAAGCTGTTTACAGGGATCACTTCTCCTCCAGTCATGTTGAACCACAGAGGAGGTGATATGAGGCCCAGGTCGTCATGGCTCTGTAGTTCTGGACTTGGTGGCAGATCCATCACCACCACAGAGACCAGCCTCTCTCTGCAGATGCCCCCCGTGACATCGCCCTCTCCTGTGGGTCCTCTGGATTCGCCGAGCTTCGACAGCCGTACCCACTCCTGGTTGAAAAGCCCCAGTCTGAGAAGCAGCTGTTTGGTCACAAACACACAGCTGTGCAGGTCCACGGCTACCCCATATTGTTCTTTGAGCTCGAGCCATCGCTGGGTGTCCATTACCCGAACTTCCACTCTGCATAGCAGTGGACACGGGACACCTGGGAACCCAGAATCCAGCACGCTCCTGTTATCAAGCAGACATGGGCCAGCACAAAGGCCGTCAGCGTAATGAGCAAAGTCTGACACACAGAGTCTGAGTGGCCTGCAGGGTGGGGGGGTGACTGAATCCCAGCAATCTGTCAGAACCAGAGAGGTATCAGCTGTGATCCTGCCCTGTTTTACAGGACTGCACTCCAGCACCAGCAGCTCCAACAGCTGATGCTGCACCATGAACAGAAAACAGAAGCAAATCAGTCTGTATTCTCATACCTCCATCATATATTTATTTCAGAGCTGTAACAAGAAGCTGCTCAGTGGAAAATGATTCACTGCGATTATTAGAATCAGTGAATCGCTGAATTTAGAGCTTTGAACAAAACAAATAACATGCGTCTTTGTCTTCAGCTGCCACATAAACATCAGACTATCAAAGATCCAGATGAGCGCATTGTGTTTAAAATATTAAAGGGCGGGCGAGAGGGCCTCAAAATGATTTCACCAGAATTCTAACATTTACAAGTGTAAGTAAATAAAGGGCCTTTTCCATCCTCTTCTTACTAACATGACGTGTGAATCTAAAGCAACAAGCATCACAACACGAGTCAAACATAAAGCACGTTAGGCTAACATGCACTGTGGAAGTAACATAAACACGGGCACGTTTGTTGCTAGCTAAAACAAACATTATCAGTTGAAAACAGAAATGATGTTTACAGCTTTTCTTCACGGTGGGATTCTAAATCGATCTGACTCTGAACATCACCTGTCCTGGGTCTTCTCCCAGGATTGTATGTCGGGGGAGCAGCAGCGGGTCTCCTTGCCGAGCCAGCAGCCAATGTCCCGGGCGGCAGAGTTCCAGCAACCTGTCGGTGAACTGCTCCGATCCAGCCAGGCGGAGGCTCTGCCTGCTGCGGGCTCCAACTACGACTCTGTCCAGGCTGACGGGCTCCACAGCTCGGACGGTTCCGGTACCTCTGAACTGCTGGAGCCCGTGGTGCCGCAGGAAGAGCCGGCTGGCAAAGAGCCGAACCCGTGGCGCTGACTCCGTGTTGGCTGTAGGACAGGTCACTCCGTCGGCCGTCTCTTCTTCGGTAGTTTGCTGAACACGCAGTAAAATGCCCGTCCTGCCGGAGCTCTGAGGCCCCTGAGGAGTGAAGAGGACGGTCGGCGGATCCGTGTCATTTAGGAAGACACGGTCCAAGTGTGGTTTTAACATCAAAACATCCAGAGGACTGAGGTGAGACGGGAAAGTCTCCAAATAACTCAGCTCAACCTGAACCGCCATAACTAATCTTCTTCGGTCCCTCTGCTTCTTCTTCGTTCCTTCTTAATACTGCGACCCAGCGGACGAGTAGAGGAACTACAAGAGAACCTGAGGACGAGCTCGATGCTCGGGTTTTCGTTTCTTTTCATTACATCTAACGATGTACTGCCCAGTGTTGGGCAAGTTACTTTGAAAAAGTAATTAATTATAGTTACTAGTTACTTCTTCAAAAAAGTAACTGAGTTAGTAACTGAATTTACAGTTATGTTTTCATTTTGACATACTGTATTAACACAATTGATCTAAAATCAGACAAAAAACAAAAAAAAATGAGTAGAAAAAGTTATATTTGTTACTGTAACAACCACAAACATGTTTTTCATAACTTTAAATGCAAATATAAATTGTCAGTTTTAAAATCATATGCACAAGTTTTGCAAACAACAAAGTGATTTGCAGCCAATTACCTTTTTTAACCATGTCAAACTATTTACAGAACCATCAGCTGTTCTGCATTAAATAAGACGCCACACAAATTATTTGTGCCACTCCAAATATTTCTGCCTGTGTCACTGCTGTTTCTACCTGGAGACAGCAGTCGCCTCATTGTTCTGACACACAACACAAAACTATCCACAACACCACACACTAACTACACAAGACAACACATTGACTACACACTCCAAACACGCTAAATGTCACAAATCTCTCACATCTCAAAACTCGCTCTCTCTCTCCTCCTCGCCGTCACTCCTAAATCTTCCTAAACAACCAAATGTCATGTTGCCATATCAACATGGTGCATTTTTGCACCAACATGAACGGGCTGATTTTGGTTTGATTTTTCTTTTTTGCTCATTAGCAGAGAGGTCTCGCTGCGCTGTCCTCAGGCAGTAAACACACGTATATATTGTTTATCATGAGTCTGGTTTTACGTGGCCTATCAGCACAATTTAAAAACTGGCACCTTGTTGCTTTGTCATCTTGAAGTGGTCATGTGATCGGCTTACCACGACTACTTTATTCTTCCTCAGTCAAACAGCAGCACTCATGCCATTGTTTTGCCCCCTGAGCTCCAGGTGTTGTGCCAAAAAGTGATCGTCGGGCAGAAAGTGATCGCTGTCCGCGGGAGCGCAGCTGCTTAAAGCTGCAGCACCCAGATTACTTACAGCTACTTCTGTGCAGCTGATATAAGATGCTGTAAACTACAGACAGCTTCAACCGTCTGTTTGCTGTAAAATAGTAACGCGACCGCGCCGCAGTTTCTTGTTAGTAACGGTAACGGCGTTGTAACGATAGGAATAGTAATTAGATTACTCGTTACTAGACTTGTAGTCAAGACCGCCTAAACCGAGACCAAGACATCACCAAGACCGGAGGGTATCGAGACCAAGACAAAAAAGTCTTTAAACTGCAGCCAGATGCTGCTTTGTTTACGGGTGTCAGGCATATTTGTGTTTTTGCTTTCGCACAGCTGTCTACTGTCTCTCACTGAGAGGACAGACGCACGCTCCACTTGACTGTCGCGTCTCTCACTCTCTGTTTTTCACATAATGATATTATCCTATATCCTCGCATGTGATTGGCCAAAATATGGAGGGACTCGTTACTGAAAAAAGTAACGCCGTTACTTGTAACGCTGTTATTGCCATCACTGATATTGCCTACCACGAATTTACATTACACTGAAAAAATAATTGATTTCCTTTTTATGATTTTGATGATTATTTGTAAATTATGTGAAAATGTAAATACGTGTCAAACTGTAAGAAATTCTTGTGGGTAAATGTATATGAATGTTATCAGCACGATGTTCATGGAGGGGTACTGCAGAACACACCGTGACTGACTCACAATACAGCGCTGTGTGTGCGTCTCAAGGTTTTAAATACTTCATATAAAGATCGTTTCTCTCAGTGGTGTCACCAGACAAATCTGGCAAAATGGAGAAAACCCCAGCAGCCAACAATGGGAAGGACAAACTCCCTTTTATCAGGAAGAAACTGTGCAGCTAACTCAGCCAACTTAATATTGTTCAAAGTTTATCATCACGGTTTAATCTTAATGACCTTACACAGGAGCATCTACAATTGTCTGTTAGTGTATTTTGTTTGGAATTTTAGGTTTCTTTCTCTCAATCCTTTTTCTGTTTATAACTTTTTCACAAAAAGAAACGATTCTCATTCTTTAAACAGAAAGAAGAGCACAGAACAAAGTGAAGCCCACTGTGCAGCCTGTAACACTGGACACATCCACCTGCAGCTCCACCCCTCCGTCCTGACACCTCTCGCCTTTTCTGCTCGACCTGCTTTAGACTGCAGGCTGTCTCGCCACTCGCGTCCATAACTCTGCACATCTTCGGCCTGTGGGAGGGGTCGTATCCATAGCAACTTTGTTGCTGTGAGGCGAGATTCTCGCACAGGCTGATGAAGTAGTTCCACTTCAGTCACACAGTTATAGTTGTAAAAATCAGGTCATTTATTTCCTCAGCCCACATTATGAAATCTCTGCTATAAGTTAGCTATTTACAAGATCATTCAAGCCCTCAATCCATCACGATCATCTTTAGAAATGATTATTTACACAGTACAAAACATCCAAACACCAAAGCCCCTCCCTGCTGCACACAAAACAAAAACATCTTCTTTTTTTAACCACAATAATTGTGCATTTTTTACATGTTAATAATCCTGCCTCCAACCCCACCCCGATTACTAATGAGTCACAGTACTGGTCAGCTACTAAACTCTATATTTCTCATCCAGACTGTCGGTAAGACGGCGACCCACACATCCTTTAGAGTATCCCAGTGTATGTCAGAGAGTAAATGAAGCCTGTGAGGAGCAAAGCGCTAAAGTTCAGGAGTTCATGCTGGTTTGAAAGCTCAGCACAGAGGAAGGAAACGCCGCCACAGCTTAGGGACGCGAATGGGAGGAAATCCTTTTTTTTTTTTGCCTTTTCAACATTTTGGTAAATGAAAATAAAATCACCAATGAGCCAAACTGAGCCTGTGCAATCAAAATCACACTTAGGCCAGACGAGGGGTTTGTTTGTGAAGATCCAATAAAACCAAATCAAAGCAAACAGCAGCAGCGAGTCACCACGTCCAAATATTCTTCAAAATGTGCTGCTTGTCGCTCTTTTCCTCCGTTAAACTGAGGACCTTCTTCATCCTGGTCTTTTTCCAGCGGCAGACTAAAAACCACACCCATGATGATGATGATGATGATGTGACTGAAGTCTAAACTCTTTGGTAAGTCAGCTCATCAGTTTGGCCGAGGACTAAACAGACCTAATAATCTTAAGACTTGATGGGATTCATTTCACAAATGCAATGAGAAAATTAGAAAAGACCTGAGAGCCTGAAAGGACAGAGACAGTGTAAACAACCACCAGGGACAGTTCGTGTTCATCCAGCAGCTCTGGATCAAACTCTTCTGGAGTGTCAGAGCAACCTTCACATTTGGGCCGATGTCAACAGTTAAACCATTTGGGCTTCATTTTGTTGGAGGTACACCAACACCTAGGTGTCAGGTATTCTTCCTCTAAACAGATCTCTCCCAGATGTCTTCACACAGCCACGATGTTATTCATCTCCCATTTCTGAGTGGTTTTACTGGTGTCACAGTCTGATACGAACACTTTGTGAAGCAGATCGGAGCGGTCCAGACATTTTCCTATAAGGAGAATACAGCAGCGGGATTACTGACGGACGCTCACAGGCCACCTACAAAACACACACCAGGGTGGGGACCTCCAGGCCTCAAGGTCCTGCAGGTTTTAGACATGTCTTGAAGTTCTCCAGAGGTCTAGTAATGAACTAATCATGTGATTCATGGTGTGATCTGACACACACAGGCCCTCAAGGCCTGGAGGTCCCCACCCCTGGTCTACACACTAGTGCTGTCCACATGCACTGAGGGACAACTGTGGGAAGGCTGCCCTTTAACAATGATTGGTGTGGACACGATTATTACTGCTGTGAGCGTGCAGGGTGTCACACTGCAGGGTAATGAAAAACAAACCAGAACCTTCTGTGCTGGTCTGGTCTACATTCTGCCCAACACTCACTGCAGGATGTAGACCAGACCAGAGCACGGGCAAACCATGAATGGTGTGTGTGTTCCTGTCTAGCTATCTTTGTGAGGACCCAAAGCTGCATTCACTATACTTGTGAGAACCAACAGTCACTTGTGAGGACACACTCACCGGTCCTCACAAGTTTGAAGGCCTTTTTGAGGCTGTGGTTTTAGTGTCAGGGTTACAATTAGGTTATGGTCAGGTTTAGGATGAGCGTTTGGGCCCCTCCTCCAATTGGAGGCGGGCGGTGCACGGGCCATCCCTCGGTAGGGTGTCTGGGTCCTGGATTGTCCACGGCGTCTGCCATGGTGCACCAGGGTCCAGTCAGAAGTCCATCCAACCATGATGAGTTTTTTAATTGTTGTTTTTGTTTCACCAAATGAAAAGAAATTTTTAACTTTTTAAAAAGTTTTTAAAGAAAGAAAATGAATTGGTTTTGAAAAGAACCTTTTAGTATTTTACAGAAAAAAGAAATCAAATTATAACAAATGAATGTGTGTGCCTATGTGGCGGCGATTCCACCCGTGAAGGTCTTCAGGTCTAGTTACGCACAGTGGAAAGAGGAAACCAGGCTTGCTCTCAGCGACCTGCTCTGTCCGATGGAGAGGAGTGAGCAGAGAGTGCTTCTATTTACACCCTCCCACTTGTACACGTCTGTTTTTCAGTTCGAATTTCGTTTTAGAAAGTTCTTAGTTTTTTGGGTAGAATTTCTCCAAATGTATTTTTTGATCACTCCTCACTATCAACAACATGTTTTTAGAAAGATTGTCATTTTTTAACCATGTAAATCATTTTTAATCATGTCTACAGTATTTTTTTAACCGTGTACTTAGTATGTTTAACCACAACTGTATATTTAATTTATGTTTTATTATTCTTAAATGTAATTAATCAATTGAGTTTGTAACTGTAATACTGTACCAATTAGGATTAAAGCCAAATGGAAATTGTAATTAATTGTTATGCAATGATTGGGTTTAGGGCCAAATTATTGGTCCAATTAATTAGGTTTAAGACCAGAATGGTTATGGTTTATCATGTGGGTTGGGGCTTAGTTAAAGAATAGTGTTAGGGCCAGATTAGGGTTAGGGTAAGGGGCTAGGGAAACCATTATGTCAATGACGGTCCTCACTAAGATAGCTGAACGGGCTTTGTGGTGTGTGGTGTGGTGTGGTGGTGTGTGTGGTGGTGTGTGTGTGTGTGTGTGTGTGTGTGTGTGTCTGTCTCTGTCTGGCACCAAAAGCACTTCTGAGGCTGAAGTAAATGATGCGAACAGCAGCTGACTCCATGTGTGATAAAGCCAAAAGTGCCTTTGATGATGAGAAAAGATGAGTTAAAATGCCAGTGCAGTCCTTTACCTGTTGGCACATGAGTGAATCGATGCAGATCCTGCAGACACAGACGGGAAAGGAGAGAAAAAAAGGCAGTAAATTCAGCTTGTGTCAGAGATTTTCTGCCTCCTACATGTTGGTGTGATCTCAGTGCTTCCAGCCTCCACACGCTGCTGAGCAAACATCTAAAGACCAACACTACATCCATCTTATGATCTGTGTGTGTCTCACCTTGAAGTACTTCCACTCCATGTGCTGGTTGGTTTCACAGTGTGTGATGATGATAGCAGACTTGTCGCCTCCTATGGTCAGGCACTGATCATACTGCATCAGCTGGTTGGCTTCATTGATGCGGAACAGCTACACAGAGTTCAGGGTGAAAAACCAGAGTCAGGATCTGGACACCTAACGTAAAGCCTGCCTCCATCCTTTCTGTGACACGAGGCAGGAGAGCACACTCATGGAGCGATAAGGAGCCCAAGCTTTCATCTACAGAAGCAGCCAGCTGTCCCTTTAACCCACTGATCACAGTAACACTGGCTCATGTCGTCACACCAGAGGAAAACAAAGAGCCACGTCACGTGTGACAGTGTTTAATTACCTGGTTTCCACCCATCCTGTGGCACGGGCCCAGCTCTACATTCCCTCCGTTAGTGTGTCCCATGCTGTCGATGCAGTAACTGGTGTCGAAGCCCCGGATCTGCAATCACAGGGACAGTGAAGCATGCTGTGTGTGAAACATGTTTATGCATCTTTGTGAGGACCAAATACTGGCAGGCTTGTGGGGACCAACAGCCCTTATGGCAGTGGTGTCCAAACTCCAGGCCTCAGGCCGGTGTCCTGCAGGTTTTAGATGTGTCCTTAATCCAGCACAGCTGATTTAAAGGCTAAATGACGTCCTCAACGTGTCCTGAAGTTCTCCAGAGGCTGGTAATGGACTAATCCTGTGATTCAGGCGTGTTGACTGAGGGTGAGATCTAAAACCAGCAGGACACCGGCCCCCTCGGCCTGGAGTTGGCCAAGCCTGCCTTATGGGGACTAAACGCCCGTCCACACGAGTGGGAAGACAGTTTTGAAACTCAAAATGTGGTTTTAGGGCCACAGACAGGGTTATGCATTCATCTTTAATGGTTAGGGTGTGCGGCTAGGGAAAGCATTATGTCCTCACTATGATATCAAAACGAGAGTGTGTGTGTGAGCACGCCTACCTCCCCCCACTCTACATTTTTAGGAGGAAGTGGGTAGTGCTGTGGAATGTCGTATGCTATTTCCTCCATGAACCACTTGAAACTTTTGCATCGATGCTCCTCCCTGCAACAAGCAAACATGAGATCAGCTGTGTGCTTAGCAGCTAAAGATGAATTCAGACAGAAAAACGCTTCATCCTCAGGTCACATAGTCCTGCATGTTATTTACTGCACACCTGTAACACACCACTTTAAAACATTTACGCTACAGCATGATAGAGGGTGCATGCGTAGCCACATCTTTCTGAGCACAGTTGGAGGTCAGTGTTTAACGTTTCCACAGCAATGGAGTGAATTTGTGTCAAAAGCACAACAAACCTTTATATGATCGTACCCACATTAAACAGTTTTCCCTAAATGAAGACCAACTCGTCGACTGCAAATCATACAATCACACTGCACAGCTGAAGGAATACATCCTGGGGAAACTCAGTCAGTGCTACACTATGTTCTGAGTGGGCGTTCACTCAGTAAAAAGGTAGAAGAGTGGTTTTTGTGCACCTGAATCGTTTAAGGTCACTGATGTCTCCGTAGGCCAGAGTCAGAGTTTCAGGGCGGCTGGCGTAGAAGTAGTCCTTATAGTCGTCCCACCAAACCTCCACCACACGAACATAGTTCTGCAAACACAAATACAACACATGTAGATGAAGTACCATCCCTTTCATGACAGAGTGATTGCATAGGTGTAGCGGTGACTGTGGGCAGAAGGGCAAAAGCATGCATCTGCTATTGGACCTGGCTCCATGCATGCAGGTGGAGGGCCAGATGGCAGCAACACCTCCTTTGTGTAGACAGAAACTTGGAAATGCAGGACTCTGTGGAAACTTGAAACAGAAGATGTGCACTATACAAGTTTCCATCCATTCACACGTTTGTCTGCTTTCACCTTGAGAGTAGGCGAGGATCCAACATGTGCTGGCGGAGGGTTGCCTTGCCATCCCTGAAGTCTGTAGATGTGGCCGACGCGAGAACAGGGCACAAAGAGCAGCTGGCCACCACACTGCCAGATCTGGACCAGCATACAGAGTCACAGTAACCATGATGTCTTTACAATGTGCAGGGATGAACATAAACTGGACAATTCAAAGTCTACCTTGTAAGATATTTCAAAATTCTCCCCTCCCCATATCTGCAGTCCAGGGTCGTACAGTCCCAGCTCAAAGAAAAAGTCTCTTTCTATAGCAAAGAGACCTCCTGCCATGGCTGGAGACCTGCAGGTATAAAGAAACAGTCCTCAGCCCGAAACAAGCTTCCATCTCTTTGTAATCATGTGACTCTACGCGGTCAGTCCCTCTGCTGACGTGATAATGAACAAGTGACACTGACAGAGACATGAGTGAAAGACAGCAGGAGGACGAATGAAAATGTGAAGACAGAAAGGAGTGATGGTGCCCCAGTCCGAGCCCAGTTCACACCAGAAGCTCACCCACAGACCCCACAAATATCCCAAAGTCCCTTCAGCTCGGGACTCAACCCACCTTAGGCAACGCAGCCGCCAAGACCACTTAAAGGAAAGAAGGAGGCCTTTCAGACAGACTCAGGGTAAGAGACACCTGAGAGGAAGCTGTGCTACACTGAACAAAGAAGAGTCAACAACAAGCTCCTCCCCTCCAGTGGGTGGAAGATAGATGTGTGCAGCGATTCCCCAAAAGCAGACACCTAAACAATGACTCATACTCATGACGTTACCTCTACACAGGCACGGCTGACATGACCTTAAGATTAGCATTTTCTGTTAAGGTGAGGCTGCTCTACTCCTACTGTGAGCCCTGTGAGAAATGACCGGGACACGTCCACACGAGTTAGGAATGACTGTGTGTACCTATAAGGCTCAGTCTGAGTTTTTCTCAGCTTATGCTCCCTGGCTCCCAGAGGGATTCTCTTCCACAGCATGCTCCAATCCCAGGCGCCTCTAGCAAAACCGTTGCTGTCTCCTCCACCCTGGGGCTCAAAGGTGAATGTCTCGCCGTGGACGGAGTCGATCAGAGGCACCGTACACACCGTTCTGACACAGAGGGCCACGCATGCAGCATACGTGGAGAGGAGGGGTGTACATGAAGGGGATGACAGCAGTGCCAGGAAAAACACACAGACAGACACAGGGAAAGGTGCCACGCGGGGTGGGGGTGGAGACACAAACAGAACAGAGGTCAGTTTAACAAGCTGGTGCGTTGTGTGTACCGGTAAGGCTGGGTGGTGTGCGCTCTCTTGGCCTTCTCTCTCTGGCTAAGCGGCACTCTCTTCCAGAGCAGGCTCCAGTCCCACGCTCCTCTAGCCAGGCCGTCCTCGTCTCCGCCTTGCTGGGGCTCCAGACTGTACTCATTACCATCTATATAGTCTATCAGCGGCACTGTGCATACTGTCCTACATACACATAAACACACACAAGCCTTTGGATGTGCCGCTTTTCAACAACAGCGCTGTAAAACCAGAGTAAAGGAGTGTGTGGCTCAGAGCGTAGAAGTGATGCAGCACAGCAGACGATCTAGAGGCGCGCAGACTGAGCAGCCACGGTGGGACGACGACGCGTCCTCGGAGCGCCGTCAGACCTTTCTGATACAGAAAACTGATTAAAAAGCATAAAATGTCAAAGGACTGGTGGAGGGGAGGCCCTAACTCACCGAGGCTCCATCAATACAGCTCCAGGCACTCAGCCACTGATCAGCCATAAGATTAAAACCATCTGTGCCACATTGTTGAGCCATTTTTAACATTCAACAGTTGGATCCATATTATTCTGGTGATGTGTTGGTTTTCAATCAGAGCCATCTCATATCCAGATTATATTATGTGTAGATGATATCGCAGAACTGAAAAAGCAACAGGACACCGACTCAGACGGCTTCGCGGTTAGCGAGGCCGGTTCGCTCATCTGTCCAAGACACACTACAGAGCTGCAGGTCATCACATTTCATATCTTTTTCTTAATTTAAAAATAAAATCTTAAATTTGACTTTATGATAGTTCAGTCCGTGACTTTTGAGCCTCTAAAATGCATCTGTTTTGCGTCTTTGTGCGAATCTGCTGCTGCGATAACAAACTCACACAAACACAATTTGTGCAATTTCCCTTTGGGGGTCAATAAAGACAGCCGACTAAATTATTCAGCAGGTTGACTCAAAGCCCTCGAATTACAGCTGAAAGTCTGCACGTCGTGATTTGATTTCACATCGATCACACGGGAGCAACATTACAAATAATGTCGTAATAATAACGTCTGTATGTCTGAGTTCACGTCATTGAACAGGACGTGCAAACAGAAAAACTGAAACTGTCACAGCAGTGCTGAAAAACAACAAGCTGCAGGTTAACAGACAGCACAGCTTCACAACCACGACAGCTGTGATAACATGAGGCTACACTGTGTGTGTGTGTGTGTGTGCGCGCGCGCACTACCTGTCCTTTGAAATGGGAGCGATCAGTGGAGCGTACCAGTTGATCCCGACCTCACAGTGAGCATCCAGGTAGACCAGCACCTTTAAAAAGGAAACCCTTTGAAATGTGATGCTGCAAAGCTGAGCCTCTGTCTAAATGTTGCTCCACGCGTCCACTGACATCCTGAAATATGACAGCAGCTCCGACTCCTGGGTCACGAAATCTGCCGACTCGTGAGAATTCTTCCTTCTCTTGCTCAGAAACATAAGGACCAGTTCATTGTGGCTTGATGTCAGCAGCAAAAACACACAACGCCTTCAGAGCAGGTTTGCATCTGCAAATCTGGCGTCACATGACACAAACGAGGGTTTAACTGCAGGCATGTTTAAGGACAGATGAAGCGCCGTGTCTGTTGGTAAAATTGTCACAAACACGGTGTCCACTCTTGCTGGCTGTGACCTCCAGTCACACTGTGACAAACCTCAAAGTGTTTTTTCTCCAGCATGTTTAAACTTCACGTTACAAAGACAAGGCCTGCCTCCTGTTCTCTGCAGTTTGAAAATGAGAAACTAAAAGTTCTCACTCTGCTGATAGATTAGTCGTGTGTGGTTTCATCCCTGTTAGAGCCAGAACGACTGGCCCTCTGCAGCTGTTTGTGGACGCTCCTCTGCACTGTGTTCATGTCCTCTCTACATGCTTTTCTCCCGCCTGTCAGCTGATCTCCCATCAGTTGTCTGAGTTCTTTTATTCGGCTTGTCGGACTGTCGGTGATGCAGAGGATCACTGACAGGACTGCTGGTGCCATTCGGCACTTTTACAAATCAGTTATTGACACTTATTTAAAGATGGGAGCCCAGTTTACTTTCTTACTATATGAAATTGTTTCTGCAGTAATAAAGTGTACATACAAAACAAAACAGTTACATCACATGGAACCAAAATCTCTGCGGAAAACTGCAGCAGTGCCAGAACGTAAGAACTGAGCTGGAACGGTTTCCTGTCTGCAGCGGCCGCACGTTGGGATCTCTTCAGAGGCGATGTTGTACATTTAACACAGAGTACTCTTACACACTACACACAGTACGTCACTGTGTTTATTTTAAATTCTGATCAGTTCGCTAATTAAAAGTCTAAGAGACATCGTCAGCATTAGAGAGGAAAAGCAACAGTGGCGTCACATGGTACCTGTCCTTTGGTGGCCTTCTTGGCTCCAATGCTCCTGGCCTGTATTAATCCTTCCCTCTTCTCATTCCTGAAGAGTTTGACGAGGCCGTTCCACTGCTTGATGTACTCCTCCAGGCGCTCCTTCAGATGGACTGCAAGTGCATTGGTTAGCCAGCATTAGTACACGCGTTTGGACCAATGAGCATTTGAGAAAACAGTTTTGGTTTGCTGACAGACGAATGCTGGAGTAAAGACATGAGCTGGTGATTGTTAGATTTGTATTGTTGATTGTCATTTATGCTTAGAAATATCTACTCATATATGCTTAGAGTTGTATAATCAATGTCATGTTGGTAGATTCTTAGGAGTCTGCAAAGGCATCGTGTGCACTGCAGAGTCCTCTGGCATCCACACCCTGGCAGCTGGGGAGAGGTCTACCTCGTTTTATTGTTTCATGGCAGGATAAACGTAGCTGTGTCAGTTTTAGTCTGAGTGCCTTTAGTTTAGATGGACCGCTGGACTTCCAGACCAGCAGGTTTAGGGAAGTCTTTATGGGGTCACACTCTGACCACACACACACACACACACACACACACACACACACACACAACTCTTTGTGTGTATGAATACGTCGTATGTTAATGAACCTATGTATATTCATGTGACCTCGATAAAAGAGCAGTGTTACGGGGGAGCGGACGAGAGCGACTGAGGTCAAGCGAAGGAACGGCGCTTGTCGTGGTTCTCTCCCTCATGCATGAGTAACACGAAGAACTTTGCCTACTTGTGTGTTGCTTTTGCTGTGTAGTTGAATTGTCTTGGACGTTCCAGCGAATGGGTTTAAGCTACACACCTATCAGTGATGTGTTCCCACATGCGTGCTGCACACAGCACCAGCTGATTGATATGTTCATGGCTGTTAGCAGCTGATCACACAGACGTTTCTATCATAGGTAGGTTTCCTTACATTCCACTAAGTTAGAGTTTAGCACTCCAGCCTAGTCAGACAGCATTAGCTAACTTAGCTAGCATGAGTCAGCTGTGCAGCTTGTCTGGTCCTCCTCTCACTTTCATGTCCCTCTCTGATGCTCCACAGCTGAGTGCAGCGTGCTGTAGCGAATACACTGACATGTGTCCGTGCTTTGTTTCTCTACAGTCAGGTTGTTAGCCTCTGTCTTCTCTGTGCTGCGTTCTGGCTCCACTGGGGGATTACAGCCGCCCACGTGGACGTCTGAGGAGCGTGCACAGACATGATGGTAACACCATGTGACACCTTGCCTCTGACCACAGACTGCAGCAGACAGCACCACGTGAACCAACAGGACGGCCTTTGCAGGTGATCATTAACAGCATGATGGAAAAAGGAGGCTGTTCACAGTGGAACCAACACGCATCTAAAATGATGTTTTTAAACAGACCCACCTTTGTTACTGAAGTCATCTATCAGGACAATCTCAGCCAGGTACCTGCGAGGAGTCCTCTTGATGACACTGTGGACAGTCCTCATCAGCGTTGACCAGCCTTCGTTATGGAAGACTATCACCACGCTGGATGTGAGCAGTCTGTCGTCGTAGTGCCAGTACTTACACCTGCACAGAGGACACGGTGTGCCATGAGAAACCTAGTTGCTGCACAGCGTAGTACAGTCTCGCTGCACCAACGCAACTCCTACACGGTAAAACTTGTTGAAACTGTGCATCAACACTGTGACACAGGCGCCGTCTAACAGTCCGACGCTTCAGCTCTGCATCCATCAGAGCGCGAGTGTGTGAGCGCCAGGTTAAAGTTCGAAGGCACAGAGAAAGCATGTGCACAATGTGTGTGAGAATGAGGCTAACGGTGCATTTCAGTCCACGGCAGCAGGACCCATAGCCTGAGTCTTGTGTTAATGTTCCTTTCACACTAGGGCTGCTCAATTAATCGAATTTTAATCTCGATTACGATCTGGGCTTTCAACGATCATTAAAAATTATTAGCCCCTCCCTCGTGCTTTACTCTCGCGCTGCTCCGTGTGGCAAATCGAGCGCACCTCTCTGCGTTTCGAACACGTGTCACAACAATTAAGAGCAGCGGTCTCAACACATTGTTATTGTTAAATAAATATCGTCAAATAATCGAGATCTCAATTTCAGTGAAAACAATCATGATTATCATTTTTGCCACAATCGAGCAGCCCTAGTTCACACCGACTCGTACATGCAGAAACAAACACAAGAACATCATTCACCGAATTAGTTTGCAGCCTGTACGAGGATCTGAGTGGAAGCATTTATGTTCTCACTTCAACTGAGCGATAAAGTCAGCAGCGCCAATTGAAAAGGCTGTGAGGCAGCACCTGTGTCACGCTACACTCTGCCAAAGATGTCGTGTTAGAAATCGGCCACAGTGATTTGGTCATCACGCCCATTTCTGCACTCAGAACACAGGATACGGCGTACTTAATGATGTGTCGCTTTTCTGTTTACGAGAAACACATTGTGAACACGTGTCTGCACACGCGGCATGATTCAGTATCATTTCCTGATTGATCCCTGAGTGAGGTTACAGGAGGACGATCGGTGTTAGGCTTACTGCCCGTTTCCTGTGGCTATTGAAGTTTATCTCCTGTAACATTAATCAGGTTGATGTGACTGCAGGACAAAAGATGGCAGACATGCATTCAGTGGAAGCAGTACTTACTCTTCGTGGCGTATGTCATTGATTGTTCTGTCCAGTGAAATCATGTCACTGGCAACCATGTTGAAGCCAAACTCTTTGATGGAGGCCTGAACCGAGTCTTTGTACTCTGGACCCAGGACAAACGGCTTAGCGCCCTCTCCGGGTCCACCGGGGACCCCTGGAGGTTCAGGCTCCTTAGGCTCAAAATTTCCCAGGATACCTTTCTTCAGGACGGGGCTAGTGTAGGCGTGTGTGTGAGGTCCGAATGTCACATACTGCTGTTGAATCACCTGCTTCTGGTTGGATTGCTCCTTTGAATCCTTGGGAAGGTCGGCCCCTCCTGAACACAAACCAAGAGATGACACAGGACCACAACATACAAGTGCTAAGAAAGTTAGACTTTAAGTCTTTGGCAGGAGAAAACACCAAAACCACTGTCAGGGCTGATGTTAATTAGCAGTGATTACAGACCAACAAACAATCACTAATGAGGATCATCTTCTGTCAGCTGCTCCACAGCAGACTATCTCCCTATCCCAGCATCCCCCTGCATCTCCTCCTTCACTACATCCATGAACTTCCTCTGAGGTCTTCCTCTTGCCCTCCTGCTCCGTCTTCATCACCCTGTGTCCAGAACATCCACCCTCCCTCCTCTGCACATGTACAAATCCTCCTAGCCTCTCTGATTGACTCATGTCTAATACAGGAGGTATACACCAGTATTGGTGATTTAAATACAGTAATACCGTGGGCTGTCACTTTGATAGTCACCCGCTTTGGCCACAGTCAGGAAAAAACAAGCCAGTCCTCACCGTGTTTCAGTCTGATGGAGTCGAGGTCGACCTCCACCCCCTCCACATGAGGCCAGGGCATCACAGGCTTAAACTGCTCTGCAAGGTCACCTTTGGGCAACAAGCTGTCATCCTGCATGATGAAACACAACAGACATGGATATTAAACACGTGTGTCCTACACTGAAATACAATGCAGCTCATTTTAAACATTCACAGAGTTAATGCAGCCAAGACACAGCGAGTCTGTCTGCGCGCCACGCTGGTCACAAACACGAGCGAATCAAAACCAAACACACCACAAACAAACAAACTCGAAAGGTTCTGCAGAGAAAAGCACATCAATATCATTACTGTCCTGTTCTAGATGTTAAATTCTGATAATCAAACGTGCTTCAAACATATGGTTAGTGCACAAGATCCTAAATAAAGTTGCTCCACTGCAGTTACCAGGTCCACCACAAGGGGGGGCTGTGCTTCCAAGTGTGCGGAGACTTCAGCTCTTCTGTCATGATGTGAACTAATGGATTGTCGGCATTAATCATTAATCATTTTGTTTTGTGCTTTATGGGATTGTATTTATATGTTTAATATTCTGATATCTGGTAGTGTGTGTCTGTTAGTGTGTGTGTGTGTGTGAGTGTGTGTGTGTGTGTCTGTTAGTGTGTGTCTGTTAGTGTGTGTGTGTGTGTGTGTGTGTTTGTTAGTGTGTGTGTGTCTGTGTGTGTGTGCTAGTGTGTGTGTGTGTGCGTGTCTGTTAGTGTGTGTGTGTTTGTGTGTGTCTGTGTGTGTGTGTCTGTTAGTGTGTGTCTGTTAGTGTGTGTGTGTGTGTGTGTTAGTGTGTGTGTGTGTGTGTGTGTGTGTGGTGATTTAAACTGTAGCTTTTCCTTTTGTGTACAGTCCCTGAAACCAAATCCAAAGAAAAGAAACACAAACACAGACATCTATACAAACAATGAGGTGTGTGCGTTGACTGTGTGACAGCAGGGTCAGGCTCCAGCATCCCCGGGCCGACCTGGGTGACTGGATTACATACAGCTGCTCGCAGGCTCGGTGACCCACCTGCTTCAGCAGGGAACAAAGCTGCTCGTGTAGCACGTTAACCTAAGATGATGAGAGCCTGTTCCTACTTCTTCATGGACTCGCTCAGCCAGATCTGCAGCTCCGCACGTGTAAAACCAACTGAGTGTGAGCAGCTCTCAAACCTCAGCACGCCAACAAAGAAATAAACAAGTTGGTCATAAATGTGTTGGTCAGCTTGCTTCAGTCTTCCCTCATTCACAGAAGTCAGCGATGGATTTTTGCAGCGTCTGTCTAAATTGACAACGCAGAATAAACCCCGCCTCCCCCTTGTTTGATGATCTGGTCTGGTCCAGGTTCAGCCCTTCCGAGCTGATGTTAAACAGCCAAGCAGACGGCGAGGTGTGTTTCAGAAGAAGACACATCGGTGGAAACTAAACTCCTAGTGAAGGAAGCTGCTGGACTTCCTCAGCGTTAGCCAGTTTACCTTATTTCTATTAGAAAAATAATGTTTTTGTGTTTAGCCAACACTTAGTGGGTGCAGGCACACTCTTTGTGCATGTGTGTACTAAATCATGTATCTGCCTCACTGCTGCCAGGACACACAAATCAAACCTCAGACTGTCCCACACTCACTCCCGACACTGAAGGAGCCCCACTGATATCTGAAGGAGCACAGGAGCTCATTGTTCGTCTATGCACTGTTTATTTAGTAATAATAAGACCTTATGGTTATAGCCCACATAAACAGTTTTGCACGCTGCCTGTGACTGCTGCCTTCAGCAAGCTAAATCAGATGAAACCCTGCTAGAGTTGGCCATGAAGGTGAACCGCTCTGAGGGGTCACGGTTCATGGAGACAGAGGTTCTCTCACCCTCAGTACAAACCACCAGGTGGCGCATTACCCAGTGTTGAAGGTTGGTGGCAGGCCCAGACGGAGACGACACACCACAGCAGGTACATGACTACAGGTGGGTTTCATAAGCAGCCCGTGTTAAAAATTAAATATCACCAGTAGCTGCAAACAGCTGTGATCGCTCCGTTGATCCTTCACTAGCAAACTGTGACACAAGCTGGCAGAGAGGCAGCAGTCCTGCCTGAAGCTCACAGCACAGCCTCAGCGCAGCATACCGAAGACCATAGCAGGGAGTCTGTGATGGGTGCTGCCCGTTAGCTGTCTAACATCACACTGTTCAAGAGACTCGGTGTGATGTTGACACCAACAAGAAATGAGCAGAGTTGAATCCATGTTCAGAGAGAGGCACAGCACCCACACAGCCTCTCTGCACCAGGCTGGTGTCGGTCAGCCGTGGCAGGATTCATTTACTGCCCTAAAATTGCTAATACACTAATACTCCACTAGGCCAGCATTCAACAACACCCTACAGTAACTGTAAGTATGGATGAATTATCAGCAAAGTATCAAAAATAACTCCTTTTTAGTACTTTGAGCATTTGTGGGGAAAATTCCTGGAAATGGTCCAACCCCCCATCCATCCACCACCACAGCAACTGTCATCATGTGTATCAATATACACTCATGTGGCAAAAACAACTGGGATACGTCTTTTGTCCATATAGCCCAGCCCTGTAGAGGTGACACCATTTCTGTGGCAGCCGCCTTACACCAGATCCAATAACGGTGTGAAACCCTGCACCAGTCCCCTCTACCTACACCTGCCTCCAGCCAAAGAGGCAGACAATGTCCTGAAGACATGACAACAGATGGTGCAGCCTGTCTGTCTCCTGTGTTTGACAGCGCTGTAAGACTGGTCAGGGCTTCAGGACACCTGTTGTGGCACAAATAAAGAGGACGTACTGGACACTTGTCCTCTGACAACACCAGCGTGACTGTGCAGAGCCTACACCATTAAACAGCTGCAGACACGGGACACGACACGTAAAGGTGTCCCACTGTGGGCTGCGGCGTGCACACAGATCTGCCTCTGAGGTGTGACTGAGGCACCGGGAGCTGCTGAAGCCTCCATCAAAGCGCCAGAACACGTCCCCGGGACCGGGTCCACGCAATCTCCACACGGGTGCCCTTTCTTACATAACCCAAAAAGGATCTGCGTTTCCGGCTGGAATTGAACCAACAACCTCCCGCCGGCCATGACCGTGTGGCTCAGTGGCACACTGGTCTTATGTCTACATGCAATCATTTGAATACCTTGCAGAAAAACCGCAATACCGGAACAACTTTTACAACCCACTTCCGCCTTTGACTCCAACATGGTGACATATGCGGATATGAATGCTGGGAGCCACGGTGCTGTCAGCAGCAGCGACTGTACAGCTAGAGTCCAGACCACAGCGTCCGCTGACTGCCCAACACACACACAGTGCAACAGCGTGTCATAACTGCTCACACGCTAACACTGATGTGGCTCAGAGCCTGTTGTGTACTCACCCTTTTCTCAAACGGGCTGTCTCTGTTGGCGTTGGGGGTCAGGGTGGACCAGAGCACCAACAGGCCAGAAACGTGCCGATGACCAGCAGGCTCCGCAGAATGAATCCCACTTTGAGCCTCATGTTAGCAGCAGCCGCTACGCTGCGTTAGCTTCAAGTTAGCACGGGAGCTAAGCAGCTAACAGGTCGCTAGCTTGTGCTGAATGTTGAACAGGCTCCTGCTGACGCAGCGACCTCCGCCTCCACTACACCGACACGCCGTGCCTCTCCATGCTAGGAACAGTTTCTTCTTCTTCGGTTGTTTCTCGGTCGTGTCCGGCTCTCTGAGGCGCCGTGTAGATGTAGACGCAGTACCACCACCTGTGGGGCTGTGCTGCTGCACGGACGACAATGCTGGTAGGCTCACGCACGGGCTTAAAAGCAGGTATTACTGGGTGTGGAGACAAACAAGAGGTCGGTCCTGTCTGGTTTGTTCGTCATTAGGAGGGATGTGGCTCATTGTCCACGTCATATACAATTGTAAAAAGCGCATCCAAGGGAACAGTAGGCATTGGTAGCATTCACACGGAGTTAATATGAAAGCATTCAGAATAAAGGTACGGGGTGATAATAAGTCCAAATCATTAGAAGCAATGATTCGGTCTCACCTGGTACCAAGAGGATGCAGAGAGCTGAATCACAGGTGTGTACAGGTAACTGTACAACACCTCAGATGTGTCTGGCCTGATTTAAGCCACATAAAGACGTGGACATGCCAACACACTGAAAGGCACTCAACCAATTAAACGCCTGCATGTTTTGTACAACCACACACCTGCTGAGGTATTTCCACACCCGACCTTCAAATAAATAACTTTACCAAGGAAATAAGAAATTGAAGAGGATTAGATATGACACACTTTATTCATCCCAAACGTTGGGAAATGATCACATTACAGCAGTCACAACATGAAAACAGCCTCACTCAATAAAATAAATATGACATCACAAAACGAGCAGCTCAGAAAGATTAAAAATACACACGAAGCTGAAGTGAAATGAATAAATACAAGTGAAATCGCAAAGTAAGTCATGAAGGGTTATCCAGTGTTGTTCTGATCAGTGTTGGACTGAACTCAGACGGTAACAGCAATGATGGAGGACGGGTACCATCACACTGGGGTCCAGGACATTTCCATGAAATATATTCATCCAGTCACCAGGATGAGCCTGATGTCGGTCACCCTGGAGCCTTCACGTCATCAGATCTTTGTCTTCTCCGTGACCCTTGGAAGCAGGTGAAGTTGAACAATGAAACTACAATGATGGCTGAAACAGGCGCTCAGCTCAATCACGGTGAAGACTGTCCATCGCCAAGCTAAGGCGAGACCTACAGACTGAGACCTGATAAGACCAGCAGAGCAAACAGCAGTCGTTTCAGCACCTAAAGTTCATGAGGAGTCATTAGGCTAAACAAAAGGAATAAAAACAATCAAATTCTGTTTAGGACACAAAGACAAATTGTCCCCATTGTAACTAAAGTTCTAGTGAAAGAAACAGGTCGTCAGTTATGGCGATGAAAGTAATCTGCTGTGCAACAGAGCGAGTACAGCATGCAGCAGGTCTGCGTGTTCTCGTGTGAAATGTCGGCGGACTCGGTGTAACCACAGAGCGGTGATATCAGCGTGCACGGTGGCGTCACTGCTCGTTGCTTCTGTAGTCCAGGTAGTGAGTGAGCAGGCCGGGCAGAGGAAGCACAGGGAGCAAGTTCAGTCTGGATCGCCCAATCAGATTTCTGATCTGAAGACGACACAACTGGCAGAGACTCCTTGGAGAAGCTAGAAGGAGACAGAGACAGAGCTGCTGTGACTCAGACCGACTTCGTTTCATCTGGTTCTACACAATAACAGAGTCACCACAGCAGCAGATGACCAGTACCTTCAAAGGCCAGCAGCAGCTGGTGTGTTTTCCCACCAGGGGGCGCCAGCTCCACCGGCCGCTGATTGTTGCCGTCTCGGAAGTTAGTATTCGCCCCGTAGTCGAGCAGCAGTGACACCTGATCTGCGCTGTCCTGTCTGACAGCCGCATGCAGAGGGCTGTCGCAGCCTCTGCCCACACTTACATCTGCTCCTAGATCAGACACACCCACAGAGCCATGAAACGTGACCATGGACGGTCGACACAGAGACATTTACCTGCTCTTGTCTGACAGACCACTCCAGCTGCTCCAGACCACAAGCACATTTGTTCACACATCATCCTACAACACTTTTTCCTGCAGCCTGAAGCACTTTCCAGAGCTTTTACTCACACACAAGGCCAATCCGGATTAATCAAAGAAACCCTTCATACATGTATTTGGACTGTGGGTGTGGAGACTCTCCACACACAAAGACCAGCCGACCAGAACAATCAAACCCAGATCCTTCCTGCTGTGAGAGCGCAGTGCTCACCACCATGCGGACTGTCCTCTATTATTTTTTTAGGACGTGGCCTGTTAAACAAATTTCCCAGGTGTGGGACTAACAAAGGTTTATTTTTCCTTATCTTTCCATACCTTATCTTATCTTATCTAACACGCCCGGGAGGAAGCCGCACTCTTGTGTGTTAACACTGACATGACCGTGACTCTGGTCTCTAACCCTGACCTAACACTCTCCTCTTTGCAGTGCATCTCCCCATAGTCTGTCCTCGGGGTTAATCATAATAATAATACGTTTTATTTGAGGGCGCCTTACAAAAAGAAAAAACATATCAATAAAAATTGATTCAAATACATTTAAATAGAAAAACAACAAACAAGATTTGACAACAAGTAAGATCTGTATTAAAGTGAGTAAGCCAGTTTAAACAGGCTTTGAGCTGTGACTTAAATACGGGAATCTATATTTCCTATGAGTAGGGATGGGTATCAAACCCGGTTCTTGTTGAGAACCGGTTCCCACAGTTTCAGTTCCTTGGAGTTGTTTGCCATTTTGCAAACGATTCCCTTATCGATTCCAGTCGCCCCGAATGACGTCACCACGTTGTGGAGCGTCATTTACCCGGCAGGAAACACGGCACGTAAGCAGCTCAAACGCTCAAGTTTGGTTATGCTTTACGAGAACTGACAACAGCTCTGCTCCCCACAGTGAGGAGACGAGCACAAGGAACAACAAGATGAGTGGCAGATCTGAGAGAGCGGGAAACAGTGGAGATATGAAGCAGATCACAGAGATGAGGAGGGCCAAGGTTATGGATGCACTTAAACGTGAGAACCAAGATTTTTACGTTTATCTTGGCTTCTGTGGGCAACCAGCTGTTGAAGAACTGGTAATATAGTCTCTTAAAGGAGTTATGACCCCAGCTGCTGGTTATGAGACGTTAGTGACTTCATATTTTCACTTTTTCCACCTTCAGATGTATTTCCACGGTTACGGGAGCTTTCATTTTAGCACGAGCGTCAGAGCTGTCAGGTGATTGTTCAGAGGACTCCAAAGCTTGAAACATCAGTCACAGCCCTGCAGACATGAGCCGCATCAGGTGAAGCTACTCAGCTTTGTAGTGAATGAGACTCACACCTCTGTGCAGCAGGACCTTTGAGCAGGCTGTGTGTCGGTGCAGACAGCTCACATACAGAGGAGAGCCCAGGTGGGAAACTTCATAATCTGGATCTGCTCCATGAGACAGCAAGGCCTCCACACAGTGGCTGTTACCTGCACGTGTACACACATAGTTGCAGTTAACACGTGTTACCCATAGTCAAACAGTGCGCTGGCTATATTTACCTCTCTTGCAGGCTTCGTGCAAAGCTGAGGGAAAGTGTGTGTGATGCGCACGCGTGTGTGCGCCGCTCTGCAGGAGCAGTTCCACACAGCCGACGCTCCCCGACGTACAGCAGTTGTACAGAGGAGTGACACCATCAATGGTAGCAGCGTTCACCTGGACACACACAAACAGATGCTGGACACAAACACACGGTGCGTCCATGCAGATGTACAGATGGTGCTGATACTCACATTAGCTCCAGCATTTAGTAAAGCTCTGACACAGGCGACGTGTCCTGATAGACAGGCTTCGTGAAGAGGAGTCACATGATCGATGGTGACAATGTTGGCGTGATAGCCCTGAAAAACAGATGTAAATAACGGGACGTGTGTCGGCTTTATTCAAACTGATAAGCGATTACCGGAGCCTCACATCGATGTCCAGTTACCTGGGCCAGCAGAGTGCGCAGGGCAAGCAGCCGACCCTGAGAAGCTGCTTCATGGAGAGGAGAACGATCTGCCCAGGACCCTGAAAACACACAGAAAAAATGCAGACATGTAGTAGAAAGTGGAATACAAAGCACCAGCCTGAGCTCATTAATGACTGATGTGCTTTCAAACTCTGTCTCAGGCTTAGTTTGAAGATCAGGAATTTCACGATGAAACAGTAACATGTTTGTCCATGTGAGGACTTCTATGATGACACCCTGCCGTTGTGTTGCTGAACACTAAGCAGTAGAGCATCTCCCTTCTCTGCGACCCATGGACACACATCACACGTGCGGCCTGACACGCTCTCTAAACCACAACAGGAACGCTTTGAATCCCACACACTGGAGGCATGTGGCACCATGCTCCACTGTATCTTACTGTGGAGCTGAAGGGCTCCGCAGTAAGATATAGCGTAAGGATCTTCTTGTGGCAGGGCTGCCACAAACTATTATTCTGATAGTCGACTAGTCACAGATTATTTTTGCCATTAGTCGACTAATCAGATCATCATCCATTGGACGTAAAACTGCGCACTTATTTAACTATCATTAGCTTACAGCTTGAGGTGTTTAAGGTATGTGCTAACTAAAAATAAAGACAAGATGATAGTTTATTAAACTTTTAACAAACTCAGCCGTCTGCTCCTTGCTATCTAAAATATAACAGGACACTGGAGTAAACTCTCGACCATCTCAGACTTCTGTCAGCTGTCTGTTTGACGTTTATTCAGCTACGTCAAAACTAACTTTAATCTCAGCCAAACCGATTTACTCAGGGACAAATAAAACACAAAAAAAGCCAAACAATAAGTTTTAAGTTATCTAAGTGACTTATATATCATGTTTAACCCAAATAGCGAAAGTCCACGGTGGGTTTGAAAACGATTTGCCGGGAGTCTGCAATTCTCGTCGGCTCGAGTGACCATTGAACCCCCCGGCTCGCTATCGAGCTGGTGGGTAACAGACGTCTCCGAAAACGTCAGAGCGCTTTTGCAAATATGTGGTGTCTTGATAAACCGAGCAGATATTTGAAGTTTACAGCTACATTCTTGCCTGAAAATATGTTAGAAGTTTGTTTTGCGACCCAGAATGATTAAGAAGAGTAATATTAAAACTCAGTAGCTGCCGCCATTGTTGGAAACTGGAATTGGCTGAGCCGTGCTAAATCTGGGGAAAAGTAGGACGCATTTGTCGGCTGCATTTGGGAAGCCTTTGTCACATCGCTATAACGTAATCGGCCTTCAAATGCGGCCTCCAAAGGATGCGGCCTGAATTTGGACATATCGACGATACCGGAGTTGC